GTTGCAGTACAAGCTTCAGAGTTTCAGCAGCAAAGAAATAACGACACAGGGAAGCCTGTCTTTCCAAAGACAGGTTTATTGCAGAAAGATAACAGAAATACCTCCGGAGCTTTCAGACATTTTTGCTTCACACCCCACAGGCAGAGAAAACAAACACACTTTATATACTGAGCAACTTAACAACTTAACGAGCTTGACTACTTAAAGTCACATGACATTGCTAACTTGCCAGCGTCTTAGGTTTCACACCCTAACACCCCCTCTCGCTGGCAATACAAAAAAAACCAAAATTACTTCAGACCCATTTCTTCACAAAAGTTTTCATGCCGCTGAAACCCAAGTGGTTTTGTAAAACCATCAGCTTGATTTTCATGACTGGGACAGTAATTTAATTTAACAATTCCTGCTTTTACCGTTTGACAAACATTTTGAAAGCGGATATCCAAATGTTTTGTACGACCTTTAAACTGCCCATTTTGTGCTAACTTAAGACACGGTTGATTATCACCCCACACAGTGATTGGAGTGATGGCCTTTTCATACATCTCTTGTGCCAAGCATTTGTAAAATTCTAGATCTCTACATAACTCAGATAAGGCACAGAACTCAGCTTCTGTTGACGACAAAGCAATTAGGTTCTGTTTCTTGGATCTCCACCCAATCAGAGAGTTACCAAATTTTATTACACAGCCAGACACTGATTTTCTATCCTTTAAATTTGCCCAATCACTATCTGCCCAACAAGTAATCTGTGCTTGTCCTTCCGAAAACAATTCAAGGCAAAAATCTTTGGTGTATTGTAAATATCTTAACACTCTTTGAATTCCTTTCCATGCATTTACACTAGGTTTCGAAGCTTCTCTGCTGAGTAAGTTAACAGCGTAAGCAATATCTGGTCTACTCCATTGCGAAAGATGAAGTAAGCTTCCCAGTGCTGACTGAAAGATTTCAGCACGCTTGAATTCAGCACTATCCTTGAACTCATTGTCTTTTACAAAACCCATTTCCATTGGTGTTCTAACACCTGCACACTCCGTCATGTTAAACTTTTTCAACATTTGCAATATCTTGCCTTTTTGATTCAGTAGAAAACTGCCATTTTTGGTCCTATCTATCTGAACACCAAGATAGACCTTCACATCACCAAGATTCTTAACTTTGAAGTGTTTATTTAACTCTTTGGCTAGTTTTTTACTTGTTCTTGTGTCTTTGAAGTATAAATCAGGTCATCTACATAAACAAGCAAAGATTCTTGAGCATCTCCTGAACTTCTGAAATATAAGCAATTGTCAGCCTTGCTCCTGCTAAAACCAATGCCTACCAAAACGTCATTCAAACATTCATTCCAATTATGAGCAGATTGCTTGAGTCCATAAATAGATTTATGTAGTTTCCATACCTGATTTGATTTACCAACTTTCAATCCTGGCGGTAGCTCCATATAGAGCTCTTCAGCCAAGTCTGAATGAAGATAAGCTGTAGAGACATCAAATTGATTCACTTTGAACCCTTTCTGAGCAGCAACTGCTAATAGTGCCCGTAGGGTTTCACTCCTTGAAGTGGGTGCATAGACTTCGGAATAATGTAACCCCTTTCTTTGCGTAAAACCTCGAGCTACAAGCCTTGCTTTGTACTCTGGTTTCCCCATCGCTGTTGTCTTTATCCTGTACACCCACCTACAACTTACTGCTTTGGTACCTTCTGGCAGTTTGGTGATGGAAAACACACCCAGTTCTTTCATAGAATTCAACTCCTTTTGCATGGCCTCACGCCACCTACTGGCCTCCTCCTGGGGTAATTGTTCAACCTCCTCAAAACTTTCAGGTTCGCAATTTGCCAAACCAGCCCAAACACTAATAGCTTGGTACCTTTCAGGAGGTTTACCTTTGTTGGTACGCTTAGAACGCCTTAACAGTTCCTGCGATGTTCCTTCAGTTTCCCCCTCTGACCCAGAATCACTAGTCGTCACCTGTTTGTCACTAGTAGTTGTAGAACTTTCTGATTCTGACTTTACACGTCTCTCTTGCTGTACAGGTGAACTTTTAGAACTAGAAGATTCTGACTTTACAGATTTGGGTGAACTAGGCGATTTCTCACCCTTATCCTCAGACTCAAATTCCTCAGTCTGTTCTGGAACTAATACCTGCCCTGGGGCCTGAGTTTCATTGCTGTTCACCACATCAAATAGTATGTCAGGATTTCCATGAATTTTATTCCAACCATCCTGTTCACAAAATTCTGCACTTCTGCTGATTGTGATTTTCGTTTGATTGCCTTCTACATTCACAAATCTCCAACCTTTTGTGTTTGCTTGATAACCACAGAAAAACATTTCTTTAGACCTAGGATCGCCTTTCCTACGTTGTGCCCTAGGCACCAGCACATAAGCACGACATCCAAAAACTCTTAGATGATCAATTTTTGGTTTTTCCCAAATAGCATGAAGTAAGGAGTGTTGCCTACTGTGCTATTGTACACTCTGTTAAAAGTATAATTCGCATACAGTGCAGCCTCAGCCCAAAAACGCTGTGGAAGTCCAGAATCAAACAGCAAAGCAGCAATGGCTTCCTGTAATGTTCGAAATTTTCTTTCAGCAACTGCATTCTCCTGTGGTGAATAGGGATTGGTAAGTCTATGAACTATACCTTTCCTTTTAACCACGTCTCCAGCGTGTGGTTCACATATTCCCCACCACGATCTGATTGTATTTTACGTACCCTGGTGTCAAATTTACATTCGACTTCTTCAATCCAATCCATCAGGATGGAAGCTGCTTGTGTTTTTCTTTCAGAAAGAAAACCCAACTAGCCCTTGAAAAATCATCCACCAAAATTTGCATAAATCTCGCACCTCCAAGCGATTTGACTGGCATAGGGCCACACACGTCTGTGTGCACAAGTTCAAAGGGTTTCTTGCTTACTCTATCAGATCTAGGATAGTTACATGTCTTAACCTTAGCATGTTTACAAGCACAACAATCCAGAAAATTTGGACAGGGTTTAATGTTACACTCCTCAGCTAAATCTGGCATCTTGCTTACATACTTAAAGCATATATGAGCTAACCTTCTGTGTAGTAGATGTGCACAACCTGTATGAGGAGCCTTATTTACACACTTAGCTTGCGCTTCACCTGTTGAACATCTACCTGCTGCTAACTGCTCTTCATCCAAAACAAAAGCCCATCCTCACAGGGAATTTTAACTAGCTCCTTCCCCTGTTTCGAAATGGTGCACACATCATTTTCAAACTCAACCTTAAAACCACTTTTTACCAGGCATGACACACTCAAAAGTCCATTCTTCATTCCTGGAAGAACAAAAACAGGAAGGTTAGTTTGCAAACAGTTAACATAAATTGTGCCTTTAAGGTTCATTTCTCGTTTACTATTGTCTGCTATAGTCACGGTTTTTGCAACTGGCAATGTCTTGCAGTTCATCAAGCGGCCACTGGATGTCGCTGGAACTAAACTGTGACTTGCTCCACTGTCAATTATCCACTTCAAGGTTTGTTGGCTCCTTTTAGGACTCTTTTGTGCTGCCATTGCAGATAGTCCCTTATCAGCACCTGCTCCCCCTCTGGATCGTTGATTCTTGTAGTTCTCACGTCGTCTTCCCCTGTAGCTCCGGAAACTGGCCCTGGACTGTTGAAATTCCTGTTGCTTTTCTGGACACTTTGCTATCAAATGAAACCTGCTGCCACATCGAAAACATGACTTGCTGGCCATAGCAGACACTTGTGAGGCTTCCTTACAGCTCTGCCTGCTAGTTTCCCCACGCTGGGAATTATCTGAACATCCAACCCTTGGGGTATTTGAATTATCAATACGTTTTCGATGATGTTGATATTCTTGCTCACACAATCTACCAGTCACATAATTCATATTCAGCTGGTCCTCTGGCAAAACCTGTAAAGTTAGTACTAAGTTTTCAAACCCTGCATGCAGGCTGCTAAGCAGAGTATAAACTTTAATATTTTCAGGAAAATTCACACCTAAAGATGACAGTCGGTTGAAATACTCAGTCATCTGTGACGTGTGTTCAACCACACTATCCCCTGGCTTCAGTTTCAACTCATACAAAGCACGTATAATGTTCACCTTCTCTCCGGGCGTGGCTCTATGGTGAATTCGCCTAAGAGCTTCCCAAATTTCAAATGCAGACCTTAAATTTTCCACATGAGGTAATTGGGAATCGTCTATCGATACCATCAACATGCATCTAGCTTTAGTGTCCATTTTATCATGTTCCCTATTCTGAGCATGTGCAGCAGCCTGTTGCTCTGCTGTGGCATCTGCTGCAACAGCCACAAACGGCTTTCGCCTCTGGACATAGTCAGCCCACACTTCTTTGGCTTCCAACCAGACTTGAGCCCTCTTAGACCACTGCACGTAATTTGCAGAGTTCAACTTTGTAAAGGGAACCTGGAAATTTTCCACTGCCATTCTTGGGGTCTGCTGCTACTCCTCTGTGTGCCCTTTCTTCTTTTCCCCTTGGGATTTGTTTTACTCACTTTTCAGACGCCTCCAGCCTCCTCTGAAGCCTTTAAGAGCTGGATTTACGACCAAGCCGGTCTTCTCTCATCCGAAAGCTGCTTTCACTTTCTCTGCACACAATACAGCTGTAGAAACGTAGAAGGATCCATAACCTAAGAGAGTTTGTGTACTGGTCCAGTAAACGCTTCCGCTGCGCCACCAGCAACAGCTCTCTTTGCAGAGTATTAATTAAGTCCAGTGCAGAGATTCTTGTTGCAGTACAAGCTTCAGAGTTTCAGCAGCAAAGAAATAACGACACAGGGAAGCCTGTCTTTCCAAAGACAGGTTTATTGCAGAAAGATAACAGAAATACCTCCGGAGCTTTCAGACATTTTTGCTTCACACCCCACAGGCAGAGAAAACAAACACACTTTATATACTGAGCAACTTAACAACTTAACGAGCTTGACTACTTAAAGTCACATGACATTGCTAACTTGCCAGCGTCTTAGGTTTCACACCCTAACAGAGCATTGATCTGAGTCCAACTGCAGTGGCTACCAATTAGTTTCTGGGCCCAATTCAAAGTGCTGCTTTTAACCTAGAAAGCCTTAAACTGCTCAGGACTGCAATACTTCAAGGACGGCCTCTTCCCATATTAACCTACCTGGACCCTGAGATCATCTTCCGTGTGCTGTCTCCTTGAGAGGTCCGGAAGGTGGCAACACGAGAATGCCTTCTCTGCAGTGGCTCCCGAACTATGGAATGCTCTCCCCAGGGAAGTTCGCCTGGCACCTTCATTATACACTTTTAGGCACCAGGCAAAAACATTCCTTTTTAACCAAGCCTTTGGTTGATCTTATTGACATCCAACATCCTTCTAAAATGTGGTTCTTTTGGGGGGGGGTTATTGGTTTATTGTTTTTGGTTTGATTTTATATGTTGTGGTCTTGTTTGTGAACCACCCTGAGACCTCCGGAGACCTTACAGGGTTTTTATAGAAAAGCTAATTAAACATTAGCCCCACCCCAATTGATTTGGTGCCAGATCTGGGTCAGATATTCCCCAGGTCAGGTTAGGGCTCTGTGCACTAAAACTAACAAATTACTCTATCAATTTATGAAACTCTGTGTGTACCTGCACAAAGCCAGGTACTTTCAACTAGTAGGCAGTATAATTGAAAAAAGAATGAGGGGGCTCTGCAATGCAACTATGGATAATATGTTATCAGTATGTGCCATAGATTTCAGAGGTGGAAAACATTAGGCAAAATTTGTTATCATCCTGGGGATTGTGGAATGGGCTTGGATAAAGAGGAAAACAGCTATAAAAAGTAGTCATATACGTAAATACAATAAAAAGTTTTAAAATGTTCTGCTAATCTGGAGACGTAAGCCATTTGAATAGGCAAAGCGTTCCATGTAGATGCAGATTTTATTGTTTTCACAAATTTCATTGTCATTTTTTACTTTCAAAAATCTTTACTGAGCATTTCCACAACCTACTGGAATAACTATTTGCCCCATACACACACCTCTTAGTTGTGTTCAGAAAATATGTTCCTAATGGTGAAAACATTATAATGAACAATGTGGAGCAATAAGCCCTCGGGGTAGAATGTTTAAACCTGAAAAGTGCCCCTTTTGATGATGTACTCTGCGGCTAGAGAAAAACCACCTGCCACCTGCACATTTTAGATTATCCCCCCCCCCATTGCCCTAATTAACTCTGGGCACACAGTCAGATTCTCAGATGCTGAACACGCACACACACACACACACTGGCTAGATCCTGAGTGTTCACAAAAGGCTCAACACAAAAATCCCTTTGCTTTGCTCAACGTGTTTCTGGACTTGCTCAATGACTTCTGTATAGTGCAATGTGCTTCAACAACATTTGCTCCGAATGTGTTCTGACACATCCCACTCCTATTTAGAATTGTTGTGAGCAAGAGAGATTGTCCCCCTCTCCGGAGTATATATTATCAGAATGCTCAATTAGCTGCTGGAATACGGAACAATGTCTTTTGTCTGACCAGCTGCTCTAGCATCCTGTTGCTGGGCATCCTTCATTCCTAATGCACAGGAGGATATGTGCCAATGGCATCATTGTTCATCTGCTGCTGATGAGATTCTTTCACTGGCCAGCTGCTGGACACAGAGCTAACAGCTTGCCAAAAGCACAGACCACAGAAAAACCATGGGGCAGAGTCACAGCTGATGAATATCAGCATAGTTCCTTTGAGTTCGCTGGAATGCTACTTATTTAAACCAATCTCTGCTCCCCCAAATTATTTAATATTGTCCAGTTTTCTCTGTATTAACACCCTAGAATCTCCAATCCAATTGTGGCTGTTTTCTATTATTTCTGTTCTGCCATGTAAAATGGAATAGCAGCAATAATATAACACCCAGAATGATTTTTTTTTAAACTACCTTCCTGTTATGAAAGAATTTGTCAAGCATTTCTTCTGCTATTATTATTGTTGTTATTATTTATTATTAAAATTTGTATACTGCTCTTCATCTGTAGATCTCAGGGTGGTTCCACTATGATAAAAGTTCAGCTATTTTTATAGAGGGGGTTGAAAATGTTGTAATATTAAAGAAAGATGGAATAATAAGTGATAGCATAATACAGTTTTAGATATGAAATCCATTTTCTGGAGTGCTCTTAGTGGATATTGATTGGATCAGGTGTCCATAGAATACAAGCAAGGCAATAGCCAAGTTTACCTGATTGCTGGAATATACTGTTCTGAAGATTTTCAGAAACTTGTCTGCCAAGATCGTGACTATTGCCTATTTTCTAGTTAGGCACACAGATTAGAATGATAAAGAAATTGCTTTGTTAACTGTGAGGGGCATTTACCACTTTGGGAGATGCCTTTGCAGCTGAGTAAATATCTCATTTAGCCTAGTATGGAAATAATTGTGCTCTTCAGCATTGTTGGGCCTTTGAGGTCCAACCCCAAGGACTGAGCAGAGCAGGGGTGACTAACCTGTAGCCTTTCGGATGTTGTTGGACTCCAACTCCCACTGGCCTCACACAGCATAGCCAATGTTGAAGGATGATGGGAATTGTAGTCCAACCAGAACTGGAAAGTCACAGGTTTCTCATTCTTTTATTTGTCAAATAAGTTGCAAAACAACAACAACAACAACCCCACTCATTCACGCAACTGTGATATAGTTTTTAATGAAGTGGCATTTTTTTAAGCTCCAAGCACTCCTGTGGAAAAGGTATATGTTTAGGCAATAAGAATGACATGAACTATTTGGACATTCCTGGTGGATTCTTGAGTATATACCTCTTCCTTACTGCATGGGCCAGCAACTACAAACTAATGTAAAACATTGCTTTCTTTAAGAGCGCCACTGTTGTGATTTCCACAACTTCTTTTCAGGATTGTACATAATGGGCTAGATTTCTTTATTCTTTCACTTCTCGGCTTCTCTGGGGGAAATCTGAGATTGACACAAGTAAAGAGGCCCTATTAAAAGCTAAGAGTTTTATCTGGGGGAGAATGTACAGGCTATTTTCTCATGCTCAGATGGGGCTAGCCTTCCCAGCAAGTGGCATTTCATAAAGGGGCAGTGCTTTTGCTCACACAGCATAATTTTCTCTCCTCAGTACTGCCTCAAACAAGTCACTCTCTCTCTCTCAGTCTAACTTACTTCAGAGGGATGTTATGAGGATAAATTATTAGAAACCTTCCCACAGTGCAGAAGGTTATTCTGTGTGACCTTCAAGTATCTCCCAGTCCCAGACTACTACCTGGTGTTATCCCCAATCAGCTGGACTCACAAGTACAGTGCACAATTAAAGTCTCATTTATGAACCATAACAATTTAGCGCTTATGATTTCCAAAATGCACAGTCTCTTAACTTTTTTTCCAGGATTCATATCCTGTATTATAAGTATCACCTTAACTTCATTTTACTTTTGACAAGCTACTTGCAATCTCTGCATCTTAGATTCCATTTAGTGGCTTCTTTTTCTTCTTAATAGGCTCAGCTTTCATGGGCAAAGCATTATCTTGCTTGCTATTTCTCAGGAAAAAGAAAGTTGACCATTAGAAGCCGGTAGTCCCTACCAAAATTTGCTGGCGGTAGGGTGTTTGATTTACTCTAGCAGAAGACCACGGCGATTATATTTCAAAGAATACAAGCTGCTTTAAAAAATTATATTTTACAGGCTCACTTATCATCTTTAAACTTGCAAGCCCTGCACTTTTTTAAGAGAACTGGCACTTCTTGATACAGATGAAAAATCACCAGATCTTTGTTAGCCACAGCATTTTTTTTTTAGAATGAAAAATCTGGAATATTAATTACAAGCTTCAAGCTTAAATGCCATCAATGCTTTAAATCAGAAACCTTAGAAACAGACATTTTAGAAGTGCAGCCTGATTCTCTGTATGTTGACTTGAATGCAATTACCATTGCATTTAGCTGGGCTTACTCCCAAGGAAATGTGCTTCGGATTTTAATCTTAAGACTCCTCGTGATCACTGCACATTTTTTCTTAAAGGAACACTCTCAGCACACCTCATTTGCTGTTGTGCTTTGTTGTAAGGTTGCACGTGGCAGGGGCTTACATGCTTTGCAACCATCATGGACACAAGCACTATAACCACGTGGGGAATCAACCACCTCTAATCATGTGGTGAAGAGAAACATTAGGTGCAGGATGGAAGGATGAATGCAGGAAGGGGTGTGCATGCAAGTCCCGCCCCCAATGTCCCTGCACACATCATGTCCCCCCATCCCCAATCCTCCTTGTGTGGCTCAGGAGAAGTCTTCAGGGGGCTTCTTCCTGATTGCAGGCAGAAATCTCCACACAATCAGGGACCGTGATAAATCAGACACCCTGACCGTGCAAGGGAGTCTATTTGCACTCAGGTGAATGCAGTTAGAAGCCCCCTAGAGACTCTTTCCTGAAATTGGGGAAGGTCAAGGACTCAGCGGAGGGGCATGGCATGCACAAGGACATTGGGACAGCTGGGCTTGTGTGTGTACCTGTGCCTCCACCAACAATTTCAGCATCCACATGTGGGGATGCATCCATTTTCAGTTAAGACCTGAACACAACTATTACATTACCCCTTTCAGATATCTGGAGAAGCAGAGGAGTGTGTTGTGTTGTATTGCGTTGGCAGAGGCCACAGTCAATTTCTTCTTTGTGAGGCCACATATTCTGTGCAGCAAGTAAATGGACACTTACTAGATCTCACAGTCCAGCCTCAACACCCTTTCTTTCCTATATCATGCATCAGATCTGCAGCTCTGCTCCATTCATCTGATGAAGTGGCTGGGAATTCACAAAAGCTTGCACCATGGAAGGGAGTGTGGAATTCCCCTGTGGTAAAAAGACAGCAACGATAACAAATTAAACAACAATTTGTTGCCCTTCATGACTCCCAGACTTAGCTGCCTGAAGCAGCTCCCTTGCTGCCTGTTAAGTTGGCCGTGGCAGGGGAAGATTTCTTTGTAGTCAGTGTGGTACAATGCATGTGTAATTTGAGCCAAAGGGTCATCATAGACCTGTTTTTGCTCAGTCCTTGGTGCCTGGACACTGCTTACACTTCAAGTTGGATTCTGACTCCTGTATAGCCAGACAGCCTGCTAGGGTTTTATTTGTTATGGGAGTTAGCTAGATGAATTTCTCTACCATGCCAGAAGGAGCAGACTATCCACAGAATGAAGGATGTTCTCTCCTGCTGACCATGTAAGAAGAAGAAGAAGAAGAGTTTGGATTTGATATCCTGCCTGTCACTCCCCTTCAGGAGTCTCAAAGCGGCTAACATTCTCCTTTCCTTCCTCCCCCACAACAAACACTCTGTGAAGTGAGTGGGGCTGAGAGACTGCAAAGAAGTGTGACTGGCCCAAGGTCACCCAGCAGCTGCATGTGGAGGAGCGGAGACGCGAACCCGGTTCCCCAGATTACGAGACTACCGCTCTTAACCACTACACCACACTGGCTCTCGATACATCTGATACAAACAGGCTGCACCCATGAAACCAGGTGGTAGGAGGGAAAGCCAAAGAGGTTGTAGGTTCCGCTGCTTTATGACATCACTGATTGTTAGGAATGGTGATGGGAGGCTGCCACTCCATCTGCACACCTTTGCAGAGATGAAGTACCTGTTTTCTATGTGGAGCTCCTCTACGAATGAAGTACTTTGGCCTTTTAAAGCTACTTCCCCACCCCATAAATGTAACAAGGTTTGCTAAGATTAAAAGTGATGAAGGGAAAATAACTGTGGCTGTGCAAGAAGCAATATGTTTAGATCTGTAATTTACTTTCTTGAAACAATATTCTCATTTAATCTCCAACCAGACATCCTATGGAAAGCGGGAGATGAAAAATATCATTTTCCTAGGAGGGGTTTGCCTTTCTTTTCTTTTTTTTAATTAGAGGTACATATAAAAGCTGTGATATTTTATATAAGCCTTGGTGTTTATGGGCGCTTATAAATGGCAACATGCTGCTGAGAACAGAATAATTATGGAAAACAGCTCAAACCTTTAAAGGAAATATTATTTACAAAACAAATTGCAACTTGTTCAATTTTTAAAACCATAATGCTAATAATTAAATGTTGGCAAAGGCATATTTCCCATATTTTAATATATAGATAGATAGATTTTAGATTTTATTTATAAAGTGTTATGACTTTGACGGTCAGTCTGGCTGCTACCCTGGGCCCCTTCCAATTCTTGGGATCCTGTATCTGTATCATGTATAAAAGCAGATCTTTTTTTCAGCCAGAACTCAAGAGAATTCAGTTTTGGCACCTCTTTTTCTAGAAAAACAGCACTGTATAAAAGCAAACTTACCAAACTAGCTCCTTTGTCGAGGTAATGGCTTTAGCTGGTCAAAGAGTGAGCTAAGTGATGGTGCTCTCCAGGAAAGCAGATAGGCGTTTTTATCCACTCCCCTCACTTTGCTGGAGACCATGTGATCCTAAGTAGAAGAACAATGGTCAAAGCTCTGTGCAGAGATAGAAAGATACATGTTTTTGCTCTATGCTGGATCCAAAGCTGTAATTAATGAGGAAGCAAGGTCTTTTGGGGTGTTAATGCTGGAAGCCGTTCCATCCTTTGCTCAGCTTATATATATATATGTAAATAAAACCATATATCCTAAAGACACCACAGTCTCTCAGAGCTGACCTTCATTACAAGGAAACCAAACCCCTGAAGTCTCTCAATGCTTGGAGATGGGGTAGTGTGTAACAATATCAAATTAACCATAGCTCCAGGCAGGTGTGAAAGCCAACATATCTCCTTCTCGAAACCAGCTACCTTGTGGTAATTTTACTGAGTTCAGTGTGACTACTTTGAGTAAATATTAATGTGATGATTATTGCTAGATAATGGCATGCATTCACGCTGCAATAACTTTATTTTTAGGGGGGAAAGAGGGGACATAATTTTAGTTTTTTAACACTGCAGCTTATCCTGTTCCAGTAAGTGTATTATGAAAGAAAACATTTTATTGCAGGCCTATTTCTGTTCACTCAATCTCTGCCAGTCCAGTTAGATTTTGCATCCTTTCCGCCCACTTCAACACAAGTACATGCTTAGACTCCTGATGCAGCAAATCTCTCCTTATTAAAATTGCCATTTCCATATAAGACATCCTGATTGAAAACTGGCCCCTGCTTTTATTTCCTTGCCTTCCTGAATCAGGGATGAAGTACTTTAGTGGATCTGAGCCACAGCTATTAGCATTTTGTAGAAATAAATGCCAAATGTGCCATACTTTAGTTGTAGTTCAGGAACAAGTGTTTGACTTCTCTGCAGATGATTCCATAGCTGTCACTTCTGTTCTTCTAGAACAGTTATTTTATTTTTGTTTTATTTGCTTTATTTTTACTGTGGGTCAGGAAATACATGAACGTGCAATCTGTGACACCACATCAATTCAATCATGGTTCTTTGGATGTCCAGTCATTAGTAAATGGAGACCTTCAAACCCCTTTCCATGTTTTTGTTGGCATTTTTTTATTCCTGAGTCTTGCCATTTTCATTGTTTTTCAGGTACAACCCAATAATTCTGTCATGTAACACCATTGATTAATTACTGATATTTTAGCGGTTGCATGGAAATTCCAGAGATTTACTAAAACTTAGCATTATTCAGAATGTACATTAATTCTGTGATCCTGGACATCCCTGAGAGTAAGTTGCATTAAACTGAATGGGACTTATTTATAATTATGCACATTATAGGATTGCACTGTATGTTCTGACAAAATACGGAGGGTTGGATTCAACATAGCATTAAGGTGAATGTTCCACCAGCACAAATTTTCTTCTTGTGCAAAAAAAATGTTCTCTCCTTGTGCTCCCAATCTGTTCTGGAGTTTTCCCCCAACTCCCAGAGCAGATTTTGGGGTGCTGTAGGGCACACATGAGGGAGACAAGCGGGGAAACCTCATTGTGCTAGCAATAATGCTTGCACTAGTGCAAGAATTTAGTTGAATATTTCCCTGAGATGATTAAAGGAGATAGGATTTGACATTCTGACTTTAGTTTCGTGGTCAACTATACTCCAAAATTTTTTAATCTTATAGGACCATTTGAGACTAAAAACAGTTAAAGAATATACACAGTCTGGATTTAAGTCAAATTATTTGCTTTCTTCCAACTATGGACTTCAAAATAAATATCTGTCCCTGTGTATATAGCTAAAGTTCACTTGATTGAGCTACACTCTCTAAAAGTTTGCTTGAAAAGTCAGTTTTCTCTATCAGTTCAGTACAATTTCTAGCCACCAGTATTAGCATTCCAGCTGGGTTAGTCATCCCACCATGTTTCGGTAATTGCTATGTGTTCGTACCTCTCCCCCCACCCGAGCATTATTAATTCAAATCTCCATCCTGTTTATTACTCATGCTTCTGGACAATAGGAAACGGCAGGCAAGGAAATCTGCTAGGTTTGAGGATTTAGAGTCTAGCAATGCACTTCCTGGGGCTTTTAAAAAAAAGTATTCTCCAAAACCTAAGCTTTTAATAAAAGAAGGGGGGCAGACAAGCATCCCAAAACTTCATACTTTATAAAGAGCTTTCACTATACAAAATCAGAGAGTAAAACTAGAGCAAAATTATATGACAGGTGTTTCAGAGTAAGGGTTAGGAATTGGACTAGCCCAGAGGATTATATCTCTGTTGCAAGTTACCTAGTCCCAGACTATCAAGTGGGACTCAGACTCAGTCTTGGGATCCATACACAGCTGCTTCATATGGTAATTCATTGAAAGGCAGCTCGCAGCATCTGTCTAGAAGGGGCGTGCATCAGCACTGCATATTTTCTCAGTTAGGAGCCAAACAGGAGTGATCCACATGGGTGTCTTCAGAAATGATTCTGGGGGGGGGGGTCTAAGACTTGTAAACTACAGGTTATTGACTTGTTCTGTATTTGACTGAACCCCTGTTACTGTTAGAATTCCTGCTCCGTGATTGCAGTCATGGGATTTTTGTCTATCCCATGACGGTGTATGTTTTGACTCCACAAAGTAGGAAGTGACGGAGACAGGATGTTTGTGTTACTGTGTTCCGTGAAGTGGGGCTATTGTCCTTTGTTCTTTTTTTCTTTGCTGTCTGATGCTAGGGAGAGAGGGAATCATGTTGCAGTGCTCCCTGTGTGTTTATATGTAAATAAAGTAGATTAGCCAAAATGCTGAGTTGCTGAGGTCTGTCACGCAAGTTGCGCAAACTCTGTGGATCCATAAGTGTGCCGTTGTCGGTTGGCATCGGTCGCTGTGATGTTCGGTCTGAAGAAAGCTTTTGAAGCTCCCGAACAATCAACCAGGAGGGAGGGAACATGCCAGTTGGGCATGTGTCTCTGCCAAGGTCCTACACGAGTGTAGGCTGAACTTCTGACAGTTACATGGTGCTGCTGAGAAGGAATGAGGAACATTTGTGGGTTGTGCCTATGCGTGATTTATTGTATTGTATGGAATTATACATACAGTGCCCTGAATCTATGGCCCCAATTTGTACCCCCCTCCCCGCATCAGGCTTATCCACCCTGTCCTGACATGAAACCACCCATCCCAGATCCATTCCTGGATGGCCTTAGGGGTGTGACTGAGGGCTTTTAAATCCTCTCTTCAACATACAGTAGGGAGGGAAGTGGAGGAAGGAGAGACACTGCATCTCCTTACTCCAGCCACCTGTCTGAGGGAGAATTGCTGCTCTTCTATGAGGAGCTTCCCTCAGGAAGGAGGAGCAACCCTTTCACAGCTCAGAACTTGAATTACTGTTCAAAGCAGAGACAGCACAGAACAACTCAGGAACAGATCATATTTTTAAAAAAGTGCACAGATACAAGGCAACTCTCGAGACCTGTGAAATCTCAGTCTGTGCTATCTATTACGATGTGGGTTTTCCCCCTCTATAAAAATGAGATTTAAACTAGGTTTCGTGCTACAGCTTATTGTTGCCCTTCAAGGCTGCTATGCTAGGATGGAGCTGAAAACTAAGTTTGACTCTTGAGTGGTACGTTATTACAGATTTAGCTTCTGAGCTATATGATTTTATTTATAAATATTGAGATTTCGCTCTTCGCATATGGTGCCTTTGCTGTGCCCTTGTTGCAGTTTATGCTGATGCTAAAAAATATATTCAAATACGTTGGTGGTACTTATTCTCTTCTAACACAGCTCCCTAACTTGCTTGTTCCCTTGATGCTCTGTCACGGGGCCAAGATGCTTAGTCAGCTGGGGCTCCCCCTTTGATCTCAGAGGGTTCATGTTCTACGTTTGCAGTTGTGAGTATGAAGCAGACCATGATTGTACAGATGCTGATTTTTCACACTAGGCCTCTCTCAGAAACCCACAGACCCATGAGCATATTATCTATATTTCTGTGGAGCTCTCTGAGTAAGTGCTAGGTTCGCCACAGAACCAGTTTGTCAGCATTTTTCAGCTCAGTAGTTTATGCCAGGGAGCCACTGAAAGCAGGAAAAAAAAGATGCCATCTTCCTGCTGATGAAGTAATCAACACACACCTGTTTTCTGCTGTGAAAAGCAAAACCAACCTGCAGTTGTTAATGCTGTGGCCTTTTAATCTGCAAGGTGGCAAGAAAGAAGCCTACCATAAAGATCTACTTTTGACAAGCTTTCTCTGACTGTTTGCAAATTGAACAGGAACCACAGGACACTGGCATATGTATCTGTTTCTGTGATGACAGATTATAATGTCACTGCTAAAAATTAGAATCTCACATGACAAAAAGAGAGAGAAGCCCAGCTGTGAACAAAGCTTTTGTTTATATCAAGACCAACCAAAATGGCTTGTCCTCCTGTCTCTGTTCAAAACGCAACCTAGCATTGAGTGTTCCCATTTAAGTACGAAGAACAGGTGCTACATTCAGCAGACAGGGTACAAAATCTGTGTACTCTGTTTTCCATATGTTCAATAGGCTCCAATAGGTTTTTTCTTTGTTTCACAGGAAGCATAGGAATAGATGAAAATACCTTTCTCCAAGTCAAAATATTGACCCATATAGTTCAGAAGTGAACAGTGACTGGCAACAGCTCTCAGGTTTTCAGACAGAAATCTTTTTGAGCCCCAAACATTGGCAAGAAACATGCAAATGAACTCTGGCCTTTCTCCTTTTAAATTGGACAAGGATTGTCCTGGTGCTGAAAACAATGAAAATCAGTTTTCGCAGGATCTTTGATCACCTTTACAGAAAATTTACAAGTAGGAAAAAATGGCTTGAGAATTCTCTTTCCTCCTGTTTGTTTCGGTTCCTGAGAACCTCCCATAGGTTGTATCCAAAACAGGGAGTGTCCAGGGATTCCTCCTCCACCTGAAGTTCCTCATACTCCCCAGATCTTCTCTGAAGGGTTCCCAACATCCCAGAGCCAATTATGGTGGCAAGTTGGGTGGGTTCTGAATGGGGGAGAGGAATGAATCTCAAATTGCTTCCATTTATGTTCCACTGAGGCATGCCTTTTTGTCAGGGAAGGTCTAATAACTGGATACCACCCTATTAGCATCAGGGGCTTGATTGTATCCTCTGTTACCTTCAATGTTATTGGGTTATCTTTGGGATATGGTGCCATTGGGCTAATGCAGACAAATGGAGGTCATGAGATGATGGATCTGATGGCTCCTATGAAATAGACACCAAACTATAATGTTGGATAGGTAAAGGTAAAGGTAAAGGTACCCCCTGACCGTTAGGTCCAGTCGCAGACTCTGAGGTTGTGTGCTCATCTCACTCTATAGGCCAAGGGAGCTGGCGTTTGTCCGCAGACAGCTTCCAGGTCATGTGGCCAGCATGACTAAGCCACTTCTGGTGAACCAGAGCAGCACACAGAAATGCCGTTTACCTTCCCGCCGGAGCAGTACCTATTTATCTACTTGCACTTTGATGTGCTTTCGAACTGCTAGGTTGGCAAGAGCAGGGACTGAACAACAGGAGTTCACCCCGTTGCGGGGATTTGAACTGCCAACCTTCTGATCAGCAAGCCCTAAGCTCAGTGGTTTAAACCACAGTGCCACCCACGTCCCAATAATGTTGGATATGTTATTGCAAACCAACAACTACATGAATTTGCACCAACAGTCCTGTTCACTGTACTGAACTACCTGCTTCTCTTTGAATTAGTCCAGAGAGTGGTGAGCCCTGAACTGTCATGGGGATATATTTAAAGCTGCTGTCACTTAGTCCTCCAGATTTGTCTGCATCTCCCCATCCTTTTACATAGTCCAGATAGGAAGCACCTATGGCTCCGTGCCGAGTTCTATTGACTCTAAGAGATCAACTGTCATCAAAATAGCAGGAGCCAATTTGCTGATTTAAAAAGGAATAGAGAATGATTCTCCTTGCCAATAATTTTCATCACTGGTTATGTTAGAAAAGCATCCAAAAACACCTTTCAGTTGGCAACAAATGAATTTGAAAAACAGTGTTAATTGCTTTGACTACGATAAGAAATACTTTTTTTCATGGTTCATCTTCTAAAGAGACAATAATCACACCTTTTTATAGTAATGCATTTCAGTCCTCTCCTTTAACATGTTTTGATAAATTCTTATAAGCAGCTCTATAGCTAGTAGTTGGGGTGCCTGTGTTTCTAATAGAAAATGCATACATTTGTCATAATTTGATCCTTAAAGTGTGAAGTGCCAGTATTCTATAAATAAATATAGACACTAAGAAATTATCCTATGATGTGCCAGCTTCGGAAAGTTAATAAATAACAGCTAGGAATGCTAATTATTCATCAAAACAAGAGGAAATTAAAGGAGTACCTACTTACCTCTTTTTAATCAGGCTCATATTCCAGAGTTATTTACAAGTCTGCTACTAAATGTTAGGGCCAAAATCCGACACAGTTAAGCATGGTGCCAATGAGCTTAAGTGCACTTTACTCTTCATTAAGCCCAGATCTATTTAAATGAATGGGAATCTTGCCATTGACTTCAATGAATTGTCCTCTTGGGATTCAAGGGCACTTATTTGAATTAAGCACAATGCAAGCACATACTGAAGTATTTTTTAAAATTGTTTTATAGGTCATATTAGACATTGCATATGAGTTCTGAGACCTAAAATCTTGAATATCAAAACTCAGAAAGTTGTCTGACTTTAATATGTTTTTTAAAAGTCACAATTAATGACTAACAGCAGCTGCAGTATGTGTGCCAGTTTCAAGGTGGGATGAAGCAATCACTTGAAATGACCTCTTGGAATTTTTCACTATAAACTAAATAAGATGGGAGAAAACTGAGTGTTGCTGGCCATGCACTTTGGACTTCTTAAAGGCTGATTTTAAAAAGCTTAAGAAACTACTAGGTTCAATCCCACGGTCAGTAATAGTCCGTGGAATTCAGGGAATTCAAAGATGGTTGGGAGTTTCTTAAAGGTGAAATACTGAAGACAATCTGAATTAGGAGGATACGTAGACAGACAACTTCCCCCCTTCTGCTGTCTCAATCCAGGCTGCTATCCCTGCACCTTACCTACTTTGCAGGGTAACGTACTGTCAATCGGTGGCAGTGGGTTCTAGCAAGATCTCATGAGATCACTTGGAGCTCCTGCGAGATCTTCCAGAGCGCACAAAATCTCATGAGATCTCATGAGATCTTGCCAGAAGCCACCACCATTTACCCACCAGCAGTGGACGTGGTGGGGCTGGTGGGCTGCCCATGGAAGTGCCCTCTTTGGGGTTTCTGCCACCCGAGACAGCTGCCTCAGCCCACCTCATGGAAGGGGCAGGAAGGGTTTGAACTTAACACTTACCAGAGACATTTAGAATTATTTTGCAGTTGAATGCATTACATTACTGTTGTGTGGTACCACAAGATATTTTTTGTGGATCCTCTTTCTTGGGAGGCTTCATAAACATCTGGCAATTTCAAAGTACAGTCCTGTACTTAGTTCCACATGAACCAGGGATCCCACTGATAGCAGAGAGTAAGGATGTCTTTTGAACCCGCGGTGGCAACTCTGTAGCCTCACAAACATTTTGTTCTAGCTTTTAACAGAAATAGGCTGTGTGAGAAATTACTGCCAGATGGAAGAAGCAGATGCTGAATTTTCCTATGTACATGAACAATTTTACCAGGGCTATTTTAAGAAGTCAAAATGATCCTTAATGTCTCTACAGTCTATGGGATCTCTGGGTTCTTGGCATCTGTATTTATATTAATCCCACTCTGCCATTTTCTTTGCAGCAGGCCTGTTGGTGCAGAGCATATACTTTCCTCCACTTTATATGACAAATAAGGTGGTTGCCCTTATCATGGACCCCAAATAACTCTCAATCAGAGAGGTTCAGCTCCAGGGTACCTGGACAATCAGCTCCTGCTTAATTAGGTTATAATTGCAAGCGACCATCTCATTAGGAATAGCTGGGATTGATGTGTCACTAGAACTTCTGTCCCTAGCATGGGTAAGGGATGGCAAATATTGGCAATAAAAGTTCCACAGTGCTAATGGTGTTTGCTGAAGCAAAAACAGTAGTCCATAAAAATTATAGAATTGTAAAGTTGAATGGGTCTGGGGGGTCATCAGTACCAACTTCCTTTACAATGAACGAGCATTACTGAAGCTACCTGAGCAGAATAACTTGGTGGTTAACCAGAGTTGCAGGTCTGAACAGAGTCATTTCAATACATTATAGCAACTTTTCTAAATAATATATACATATACAAAACAACCAGATATATATTTTGTGCCAATATGTATTTGAAAATATATATATTGTGTACATTTGCTTTGTGTGTGTGGGGGGGGGGGCAGGATTAGACATTGTTCACTATGAATAAGGTATTTGAAAAATGTTGTTTTGCAGGACTGGGCCAGGCATTGCACAGAAATGTATATATGCTATAAGGCAAGGCAAGCAACTTCAGGAAAGGGGTGGTGTGAAGTGGGGAAGCAGGGGGGAATGCCTTTCCTAACTACTACATGTCAATCTCATGATGTTCTCAAGCTGCTTCCTTTAATAATAATGGGAAGAAGAGGAGTTATTGGGAAAGGGTTGTTATATGCACATGTGTAGCTTAGATTTTATTGTGAGCATTGCCACATTCATTGAAAACATTGGTATGGTTTGGGGAAGGAGGAGGAGGGTAGTTCCTCAGAGGAGAAAAAAGTCACAACTGTAGCTAATGTGAGAGATAGAAAAGAAGGTTGGGCGATCCCTATTTTCCTAACACATTACACTTTCCCAGTGTATGCATGTCCTCACAAGCATCTTTGCAACCTCAGGGGCTAGCAAATTGTCCCTTCTCCTGTCTTGCAAGATTAAGGAAGTTGAACTTGTGTGTCAGAGGTTAATCCCATGCATTCCATGGTGCCATCTTGAGTGGGAAACTCCAGAAAAGATGGAAAAACAATTAAGAATTCCCTCCTGCAATGCGGAATTAAATTGTCAAATCTGCTGACACAAGATTGTGTGATGACCACCAGCTTTCATAGCTTTAAGGCTAGACAAATTCATGGAAGTTGTAAGCCATGGAATATATATGCATCTCTCCCTCTCTCTCTCTCTCTCTCTCTCTTTGTGTGTGTGTGTGTGTGTTTGAAAGATTTATATGCCACTGATCCAGAAAAAATAATGGTTCCAGGGTGGCTCAATTTTTTAAAACAAAGTCCTAATAATCCCAGGGCCTTTTGATGTACCTCTGCCCATAAAGAGTCAACAATGAGGACTTCAAAACAAAACAAAACACGACAACTGCAGACTGATGAGAAAAGGTAGGGAACTGAATTTATGACTGGAAAAATGAGAAACTGGAATGGACAGATTGCTCCATCTCCATTGGTGAGGAATATAAGGTTCCATAGCTGCTGCAACCTTTGTCTGGGAGGTGCAATTTGTTCCAGAGAAAATGTTGATGTTTTGCTCCCTGCACATTCCCACTCCTTGGAATCTTTGGCTGCCACAGATGCTGCTTCAATGCCAGGCTTCCTCCTGCGCAGCAGCAATTCAGGGAATCCTTCCACTTGCCAGACCAGTGAGCAGTGAACTTGCACAGTCGTAGCAACTGCAAATGTCTAAGCCTATGCCGAGAGTTTTTATCCCAGCCCACTTTATTCCAAAGGCACAGGGATAGTAACATTAACAAGACTGCTTTAAAATATGCCTTTGAAAGACAGATAATCTACAACAACACACACCAAGTGTATTACAGTATCTGTCTTCAGCCACTTAATGCTTTCCTTTGGAATGCACTCAGATTTCTACTTTCAAGAGCCTCCAGAGGATGGAATAATTAAGGGAAAACAGCTTTGTAGAGAAAGGCAAACAATCTGAGGTGGCAGAAGCAGGAAGATTTTGCCTGGCCCCTAAAAGATCTCGTAACTGGCAGTGGGCCTATTGTCTTGTCTCTATCCCCCCTCAAAATATGGGAAGCACCCACCCAGTGAATTTTCTCCTAGCCAACAGTTGGCCAAGGGACCAAGAGCTGGCTAAGTATGCAGAGATTTCTTTTAAAGTTCTAAATAGAGAATAATTACAACATTATTTTGCATAGAGGCAGAGAGTTGTTATACAAACTAATGCTCTGCTGCCCACTGTGCTTTGTAACGGTCTTCTTTGCAGTGGGTTTTAGTTTAAAAGCTGGCATAATTTAGATGAAAACCCAGAACCATTTGCCTCTTCTTTTTTAATTAGAACGTTTTGTAATTGGGGAAACAATGATGTAGAGAACGTCCTGAAAGCTGTATTGTTTTAAATGTAAGAGTAGGGTTTTATTTTTTTCAGGGGGGATCCCTTGATGTATTTTATTTGCTTTTATGTGTATGATTTCCAGATAGGATAGCATAATCACAGCATGACACATAAATCTTAACATAATAGCTTTAATGGATTTTTCAGAGCCACTACAATTTAGCATGCCAAAGCACACTTAAGGAAGCTTTAATTTATGTTATTAATCATAGGGTTTGGAGCTGACGGTGGAGTGGCAGGGACAGAAAAGCATGGTCACCTTCCCATAAAAAGAGCAAAAGCAACTAGGCAGTAGACAGCAGGCTTAAGGGCATGTCTGGGTGTTGGGACAAGAAAATCCGTGAGCCACACATTGGCCTGTTCAGATGCTCCCAACAAGGAACTTCTCACAGTCCTTTTAAGGCAGAAGATCTGGTCATAGTCAGCCTTCCTCACTAGGTGGCACAATCACATATCTAGATGCCTACATTTTGGTGGGGCAAGCTTACAGTATGAGTTTTTGTAGAAGGCTTCACTCGTGATGAATTCTTGTTCTTTCAGTCAATGACGTCACATCAGAAATTCTGAAGCCAAGTACGCCAAAACATTTTAGATGGGGTGAAGCAGCGCAGCAAGTAAGGCCCCACTTAATAATAATAATAATAATAATAATAATAATAATAATATATTATTTCTATCCTTCCATCCGGCTGGGTCTCCCCAGCCACTCTGGGCGGCTTCTAACAGAAGGTTAAAAATACATTAAAACATCAGTTATTAAAAACTTCCCTAAACAGGGCTGCCTTCAGATGTCTTCTAAATGTCAGATAGTTGTTTACTTCTTTGACATCTGATGGGAGGGCATTCTACAGGGCGGGCGCCACTACCAAGAAGGCCTTCACTCTGTGATATGTCAAATCAGTACATGCTGGGGCATACAAAAGTTTCCCTTAATTTCCCATCATGAATTCTGTCCTTTTCTCCAAATAGTAAACTTAAATATGCAAAGCCCACTACCATACTACCACCATCTAGCTATTTAAGAGGTGGCTAGGGTGCTTTATTACAATCCAATGAAAAGAAGCACAAATACTTTCCAGGTGTCTATATCTGAAATGCTGGAGCCACAGAGAGTATGAGTAGGCATGCTTGAAAATTCCCAAGGCATAGAACAGTCGTTCAGAAAGTAAAACTAGTACACAATGACAAAGAGGAAGAACCTTTCACAATTTCTCTCTCTCCCTCCCCCCCCCCCCGCCCAAACTATCCCAGGTTTGGATCTTGAAAGAACGGTTTCAAAGAATGGCAATGCATATCAGACAGTTAGAAAAAATGAAGGTGAAATAGCCAGAACTAGTAAAAAGGAGACATTATAAAGAGAGTGTGCATGATGGGTCTCTAACTTTCAATTCTAGTTTGGAGACACGTTTTCTATAACTATCAAGAGATTATTTTGTTGGGGAAGGGGGCAGCTGCTGCCCTGCTGGTTTTATCTGATGCCCATCATCATGCTATTTGTGCTGCATGTAATCATTGTTTGAATATACGTTACTTGTTATTTTTTTATGAATGAACGGCAATATAAAACACTAAGTTTTTGTTTTTCTTAAATCCATTTTCTCTCACTTTGCAACATTTCTGTATGGAATATGTTCCACTACCAGAGCTCACAACATTTCTTTAATTTTACAAACACCTAATGAATCCTCTGACCACTACTTACCTCTATAATCTATGTAATACTTCAGAAGAGTGTTCCTCCCAGAAGACCACATATTTGCCAACTCAAAGTATCATACATACATACATACATACATATGATGGATATATTCTGCTTTGATTATATGTATGTTTTGGTTTAAATTGATATCTTGTATGCAGTATGGCTACATTTTATGTTTGTGGTATAAAAATAAAATAGTACTAAAATAACAACAGCATCAGCGATAATGTCATGACCTGGAATCAGTTACCTGCATTGTGGAACTACACATTTTGAAATGCATTAGACTGCCATTTTTGTTGTGGCAGGCCTGTATGGAATTTTCCCCTACCCTTCATAACATGTAGTTCAAATAACCTCCTGACCTGGAGTTGTTTTGCTAAACCTTTCTTCATCCTTGCTAGCAAAGCTGTAGGGTGTGAGTGGTAAAATGGCGGTTTAATATACCACTGGACAAGAGGCAAATCCTTTGTGGAAGGTCTGGAGAAAATTTGATAGAAGGCTGACACCACTTCTCTCCGCCCTCTGCTGACTTTTTTTTTTACTTTTTTAAATAAAAAAATCCGAGGTTCCACCCAGAATTTTCATAATCAGTGGAAAGGAAAAGACAATTTCCATAAATCAGTGGGGAACACTCTCCCTTCTTTGTTACTACATCACTAACACCCAGAATTAGAAAGAGGATCTGGGGTCAATCCTTATAAGGAGAATTTTGTGAGAAATACAAGCTTTAGAAGCCCATCTTTAGCCAGTCACATAAATGGTGTGAAGAAAAGGTCAACATTTGTCAGACAACAACCAGGGATTGATCATTAGGTTCTTATTGGACATCTGATACCTATTTGGTCATGGCTTTTATCAATTGATAGAACCAATAATATACTTCATATGTATTATTTATGCAGTGTCCATCTTTGCATTAAATACAATTACTGTTTAATAAATAGATTAATTTTCCCTCCTCACAAATAAAACAAATGTTCTGTTTGGTTTTATTGCTTGATGGTGAGCCAGAGGCTGAGAGACTAGTGGTGCCAATAGAGGAGGCTCTGAGCCCAAGCCAACCACTGAACTGAAGACCCCCAAGCCCAAGATCCCAGAGTTGTCTGGAACTAAGATGCTAGAGACCCATAAGAGTAGTCCTGAGCCTAGTCTACAGCCCCTGAGCCCAGGCCCAGCAAGGGGGCAAGCAGAATTGCCTCCAAGGACCCCACCATCCAACATAGGCAATGCAACCAGCATGGTCTTTTGGAGAGATGATGGAACTCTAGGTTACAGACCAGAGGCTTGCCTCTTTAAGACCCTCCACATTTCAAAAAGAGGGAAGAACTTGAGAGGGGTTTTTGGACATCATGTCATAAAAAGCTTCAGTCTAGTCCCAGGGAGATGTTCTCTTGGAGCTTCCTTCCTGCTATGCTCCTCTTACTTCTCACAAACCCTTCCTAGGGACCATAACAGGACAGATAGCATCCATAAAACATATCATCTTGTGTAGACTGTGGGGTGCATGCTGGGGTCTGGGAAGCTGTAGTGCATGCATGGTTCTGGGTGTGGCTCTCTCTAGTGATTTAGCTATTTGATTGGTTAAACACATGGCATTTTGTACAAATACACTGCCACAGCCACCATGTGACCTACTCGAGGGCTATTGGGAGGATGGAATTTACTGGACGGTAATCTTGAACACCCCAAGAGTTTGTGGGCAGCCACATTCTCCCCAGTATTGTCAGGCTTACTTCACAGCTGTTGAGAGATGGGAAGAGTCAAAGGAATAACCACTGTTCTCCTGTCAAATCTCCTGGAAGAAGTTTAGTGTGGGGTGGTTTGTATGTGTTGTTTTGCCGTACTGACCACACAAAAGCTAGGAAGTGGGGGCTTCTTGGCAAGTCCTTATCCCCACTCCCATAGTGAGCATAATGGAAGCATTACATTCTGAAAAGGCTATAGGCCCTAAATGGCCTCAGCCCAGTATGCCTGAAGGAGCGTCTCCACCCCCATAGCTCTGCCTGAACACTGAGGTCCTCCTCTAAGGGTCTTCTGCTGGCTCCCTCACTGTGAGAAACAAAGTTACAGAGAACCAGGCAGAGGGCCTTCTCAGTAGTGGTGCCCTCCCTGTGGAACGCCCTCCCTTCAGATGTCAAGGGTATAAACAACCACCTGACTTTTAGAAGACATCTGAAGGCAGCCCTGTTTAGGGAAGTTTTTAAGGATTGATGTTTTTGTTATGTTTTTAGATATGTTGTAAGCCACCCAGAGTGACTGGGGAAACCCAGCCAGATGGGTGGGGTATAAATAATAATAATAGTAGTAGTAGTAGTAGTAGTAGTAGTAGTAGTAGTAGAATGAATCCACTGATTGGTCCTGCAGTTCAATGAACTTACTGTACTTGTTCAAATATACTTTCATAAATAAAGGGGTAGCAATATTATTTTGATTATTTTTTTTAAACATCCTTGCGACATGTATTTTGCAGAGATTATCTCCAACCTTTTAAAGAGAGGAATATGCTTTCTTGTACCAGTGCAAGCCTGCTTCAGCAAACTGTATGATTTTCGAATGATAAAAAGTCAGTCCTGCTCTTTAGCTGGCTCCTACATTTCAAGGTGTAATTTGAATACTTAGGAAATCAATATGGGCTTTGCTATGTGATTACAACCAAATAATTGAAATATCAGAAGAGTAGTGAGCCATAGAGCCTTTATACAGATGCAATAAGGCATTTTAACAACAGTGCTTGCAGTGTTAAAGTGGGCCTAAATTTTACTGAAAGGCACTATTAAATGTAGACACATATGCGCAATCTCTCTCTGTCTCGATTACTCTAAAGTATTTTAAAAAATACTTCAAAGATACCAAAGTGTATATCATGCTGTCATTCCTTAAGCAGTGTTAGTGAGGTCTGCAGGGAGATTTCCAAAAGAACTGAGGCCACGATGTGGCTTTGATTGACACCTTAATAATTTGGCCAATATCATACACAGCTTCGAATGTTCCGGGCAAGGTGTCCAGGGAGATTTGGGAGGGAAGATCTGAATTATGGAAACAAGCAAGTTTCTTGTAGTAAAGTAGCAGCAGATGACATGTTTTATGAAAACTCTAACTTGTAGGGGAAAGTGCTAGGGAAATAGGGCTTAACTCATTTTACAGTTGCAAAGAAGAAAAAGGATTTACCCTTAAGAAAGAAAATAAGGGGGGGTGTCTTTGGGTGAAGAGCAAGTCAAGGTTAATATAAATTATGTATCTACCATTTAGCCACAGAGCGGAGCAAAATAGAATGCAATCCTTATCAAAAAATGACTGCAATATTATTTCAAAGGTACTCACAGCATGCTTGTAGGATAATATTTTTCCCAAAGAAGTAAGCATGAAGTCCGAATGACTTTCTTAATGAAGCAGTAGTGTTTCATCTCTGGAAGCCTAATTTAAATCCATCTTTTGGTCGGAGGGAAAATGAGTGACTTCAGTTTAACTCTCTGATGAACAGTAATGTATAGACTCTAGCTATTGCACAGATATATGGCACAGTTTAAGGCAACTGATTTCCATTTAGTTTTGTTTCTTTATTAGATTCCTTTATATATCGCTCTTCATTTTCTTTCTTTCTTTTTTTTTAAATTCCAGCGCAGTTCACAAATCACACTGTCAATTTCATCACAGAGCAAAAATAAAATCACAAAAATCATCAAACTCTGGTGCAGGCTAAAAGCTGGAATCTGTATCTTTTTCTAAGGAGACAAAATTTATCGGAAGCTGCAATTGGCAGAAATAGAATGATCCTTGTAAAATAACAAATATAATGTTTTTTGATATCTGACAAAAACAAAGAAAGTAATACAATAATTTGGAACTGTGTGTGAAAAAATAGTAGAAATAATAATACAATGAGTCTAATCGGAAGTCAAATGTGTT